GTGGAAGAGTGGCAAGGCACGAGGTATCACGTAGACGGCGAAGCTAACGAGAATTTTTATCCACCCTAACCTAAACCTAACGGTAAGCATCTAGCGAGTGCTAGCCTATACCAACCGTAGGTAATTTCATTCTGGCATTGTAAACAACGTCGAACACTTTTCATAGTAAATTTCAACGAAGAACGCTCGTAGCCGAAACGATATTGCGAAAAGATGCGAATACGGAAGATAAGAGAGGAGAAGCGAGCAGATAAAAGTAGGAATTCGCGTTCCGTGGCGACGCGGCGCATGCGCGCAGCGCCGTTCGGAATTAAAAGACCGGGGCGAAATAAGAATGGTGCCGGTCGGTTGAAGCCGCCAAAGTTACAAGATCGAAAGTAGTTCCGACGAGAAAAGCGAGTGCATTCAATCCTTTTAAGCTTATTACAAGGCCGTAACCACTTTATGGTATCACTGAACGAATGTAACGAAGTTCCCCAGATTTACGACAACGGACCCCCGGCTATTAAAGTAAATTTGACCAGCGGATCAAATAAATTTAATCGCCTCGTCAACATTCACCGTACTTCCGCATTTTAATCGGAATGTTTAACCGAGTGTTCGTTTCACACTCGTAATGACACGATTGTAACACCCTTGTTCCGCTGAAACAAAAGTGCTATTAATTTTTGTTTCTTTTTCTTTAACATAATAACGCGTTTTACGATTGCACGGATTTAAATTCAGATATTTTGCTAAATTTTTTAGAGGGAAAGCAGCCGTTATAACTTGTAAATCAATTAAATGAAATTTATGTAAAGAATGTGATAATTAACCAACGAATATTTATGTAAATGCATAATTTTATAGACAGTCGGTTTAAGATGAACTCTGGGTACTAGTATTTATTTGCATGTTTCTCAGGTTTTTTGGGGGCTATATATGCACGTGTGTAATACATATCTCATGTACTTCGGCCATTTTTTTTTTTTTTTTAATCATTTGGCAATTTTAATTTCCTTTGTCATATATATTTTATGAAGTATATTATGATTAAATAAATTTGATAAGAAATTAAGAAATTGAACACATTACCAAGCTATTGCTAGGAATAGAATTCTTAAATGGCGTCAAAACAAATCTGAAAAGTGTAACTGGAAATATTAAAGGAAGAACTGGGTAAAAATAAAATGAAGTTTCGAAGAGGACTTCTAGTCGATAAAATTTTAAAAGATAAAATTACCAAGAAGCCAATTGAGGTAAAACATCACTGGAGTAAATTTAAATTTACCGCCAACTGCATCTAGTGATATTGAAAAGTGAATTTATTTTACTTGATAGAATCTATCTATGGATAATAGAAAAGAATATCTACAGTTTGTAACAATTTAATTAGAAATTATTGATTATTATCTTTAGTAATAATTAATAATAATTAGGTACATAAATATTATAAATTATTTAATATAAATTATAGTTATATGACTAACTAATAAAAATTATATTATTATAGATAGTAATATGATATTTTCAATGTTTCGTGATATTATAAATATCATACACTGTAGTACAGTTTATTAAATATTAATATATTGATTTTAATGCACTCGTTGGATATTTCACTATAATTTATTTCTACAATATTTCATGCAGTACCATTTTTGTATCTCACATATTTCAAACACTTATCCTGACATTTTATATACACCGTGAAAACTGGTGAAATTCAACGTGTCATTATTATTTGGAAAGAAGTATTTATTTCGTGTTTGAGACAAATTTGTTTCCTCTGAAACTGCGTTGTTTCGTGTAAACGTTTCACTTTTCTCCTACAAAGTCAACGAAAAATCATGGTATTAATTAATCAATAATTTAAAAAATCTCTATTACTATCAAATTACGAACAATTTCCAAGCTCCGATGGTAAATAACGATCATTTAAAACGAGATTTCTGAAAGCACCGATGGTATGTGAAATCATCATAGGATTCGAATCTGGGTCAACGTTTCGCAGCTGCCTTCCCAATTTCCTCGAATTCTTTTTCGAAACTTCTTGAAAACACGTCGCCCCGAAAACACCAGAGGAATTCCATCGAATTAACTAATAATTAACGCGAACTTGACCGATTCCGGGTAACAGATAATAATTACCGAGATAAATTAATCGAATTCCTTTAATAGATCGTAGAATTTCGTTCACGTAACGGTCGCATTCCTTTTAGTTAACGAATGATCCGTCACGCGGCGTCGCGGTCGTTGGGAATTATCATCAAAAAAGAAAAGGCAGCGTTGTCAGTTTAATCGTGGATCTTAGCTCCGTTCCTCGATATATATTTCCTCGGAGATATTTGCAAGAAAATATACCGGGTAGAAAAATGTCTCCTACTTCGCGAACCTATAAATATCGGTGGAATTTCTTCTTAGAAGATCTGCGACATATATATGTATTTACGTCGTCGACATCATGCTACTGGGGGGGAAACTTCCCTCTTGTTTTGGACATGTCCGACTTATCGTGAGGAACTATTTGACCAGTTTACTGCACAGTTCTGTTTATAAGAATCTTAGTTTCTAATTTAAGACAGACGAGAGAGAACTATAATTGTTTATCCTGCTATTTGTAATATTATAAATTAACGAATTATAAATTAAATTAGTATAAATTCAGTATTTAAGATAAAAGGAAATCCTGCACTCTTTATGGTGTTATCCATGATGTTATAAATTCAGATCCGAGAATTTTCTATTTAAGATGTTTAATAATATTATATAATTATTAATATAATATAATATCATATAATTTACTAATATTATTTACAATAATATTATAATTTAAGAATTATGAATTTCTTAATTAAAATAAGAATGGAATCCATAATTTTGTAAACTTATTTGTAGAATAAATTAGGAAATAGTTTCTTAATTTATATTATAAATTATAAAATATAATATTGTGGCAATATTCTTATCACAAATATCAAATTTATTCTCTAAGAATATTGCCATAATATTATATTTTATAATTTATAATATAAATTAAGGACTACAACTTTCAATGCTTCGTCACTATGTAAAGAAAGAAAAAGTCATCGTGAAATAGTGAATGAGAGTAGCAGATAAATAGTAGGTGCAATAACAGATGTAAGTTATACTTCTTTGAATCTCTTATAATAGAAAGTATTACACTCTTGCGGCTACCATCCGCGAAACAGATGGAATTTATCCTCTCTGGAGAATCTGCTCCAAATTTACGAGTGACCCTTAGCTACCGTGCCTTACGTAATATCTACAGAATGATTCGTTTGTTTTAATCACTTTAAGTGAAGATCTTGTAAACTCCTTTACAGTATTCGACACAAAAAAACATTTTTAATTCTCCGAATGATGCATTAAAGCATATGAAACATACAGTTAAATCTGACGCAACTGTTTAAGCTGAAAATTACGTATATCCAATATTACGCCCAATCAAACGTATACAAATATCAATAATCGTAAAATATTTAAAGGTGCAATAAACAAGTTTTATTTTCAATCCTTTTAATTGCATTTTAGAATCTTGATATACAGATTTTAAAATACGTATTCAGAAATTAAGTTCAATCGTTTTACGTCCTTACGTCCATTAAATGTCACGTTAGTAGTTAAAATAGGAAATAATATGGTTAAGAGATGGTCTTGTGTCCTGTTTACATTTTTAGCACAGATTCCATAAGTAATATCTATACTACATGTCCGTTTCTTCCAGGTACTCTACGAGTATTTGGTTATAGGTTATGTTGTACCCAACGCGCTACGAAAAACGCCACGAACGGATAAAGATAAAAATTTGAACAGAATTTTCGCTATTCGTTCTCAGGAAATAATAAATGTGTCTTATTAAGACAGCGTGCTCATAACAACAAAAGGAATTTACACTTCGTGGCTCTAGACTCGTGTGTAACGAAGTATAGATTCTTTTTCTACACGTGTTTCGCGGAGGTATATAAAAGCGTAGTCCGGCATAAAAAAACCTCTCAGCGAGTTAGTTTTTCTTCGACTTACGATTCGAAGATATATAGTGTTTATAATGGAATAAAAGAGATATTTAAAAATACGGAAACGAGTGAAAAGGAAGAAAAATGGTGGACGATTTAGTGGTTCTCGTGGCCTAACGAACTAGAGAAACGGAGAAGTCGGGGAATTCCGGTTGGGTCGGTTCGATCGTCCGATTTCGACTTTATACAGCGGCCGGGAGATCAGTCGTTGGTGTCGTGTCACCTACAAGCGTGGCGCGTCGCTAGGTGTCTTTCTGGCGTAGCATGAAAATAGCCAAGCGTACTTGGAATATCGTGCGGCCTACGCGTTAGGCATGCTACAACGGCGTTCACCGAGCGCTCTCCAAGCGTAAGCGAGTGCGAGCGAGCACGAGAGATTACACGGCTCCTTCGAGGAGTGGGGGAAACGTACGAGGGAAGACCGTTGAGGAAAAAGAAAGAAACGGAGCGCGAAGAAGGAGAAGGACAGAGGCTCGGGAGGGCAAGAAAGGCCGCGAAGCGGAGACAGGTAGATAAATGCGGTTTATGCTAGGAAGAAAGAAGACAGACGACACTGTTGTCGCACCGTATCTCACAAGTATACGGGGTCAGAGACGAGAAGAGGGACAATTGCGAGAATCGGCCAAAGAACGAGAGAAAGAAAGATAGGAAGAGAAGGAAGATAAAAAGAGAGAGGAAGAGCAGAAGGGAGGTTAAAGGGAAGGAGAAGCACGAACGAAGACGGAGAAAGAGAGAGAGAGAGGGAGTCGGAGACAAAGAGAAAGAGGGTAAATAGGAGATTCCAAGAGAGGAAAGGATTCATACGCGCGCGCGCCTGTGAGTAAAAGAGAGAGAGAGAGGGGGAGGGAGGGAGTGAAAGACGGGCAGGGGATAGAAAAAGAAAGATTGATGGAAAGGAAAGACAGGATAAGAAGCGAGAAAAAGAGAGCGAAAGAAAGAAAAAGAGAGAAGGGTAGAAGGAGAGAGGAGTAGCTCATGGTTCACCTGTCGTCATGGCAACGCCGCTTCGCCGCTCACTTGTTACTCCATCGGCATAGCTCGGCCCTCGGTCCTCTCGCAGCCTCCGCAGGAATACGAACACGAGTCACGATCCATCATAGGAGAGACCGAGATGCAGACGCCTCCAGTTTCTCGGTTACAATGATCCGCCGTCTCCACCGAGATCGAAAAATGTCAGGCTGACAAAGATGGGTGGGGAATCACCCTTCGACTCGCACTACGTTATCACAGAATATTCACTACCGGAATTCGATAACCGATCCTCGTCCTTTCGAAATTCGTCTTCATTCGTTATTTCGCACTGTATCACTCTATTCTCGGCATCATACGCTATACCTTTCTCACTATTTTCTTTTTCTTTTTCGTATTTTTCCTTTTCCCTCGTTATACGAACACGAGCGCGATACGGCCGAATAATATTATAGAAACGTATCACAGAAGAAGCACAGTAATGATTTTGTTGGAAGAAAATCGGAAAGGAGACACCCTCTCCGGTTACTCTTTATTTGCCCGTCCCCCTGGCGCGTACTTAAGCCGAAGTCACTCTTCTATTTTAAGCTCCACACTTGCCCCGTCGTCTGCGTCTCTTGGCTCTGCTCTCCTCGCTCTTTCTTTCTTACAGAAGCACGAGAGCAACACAGAGAAACTTATACACGCACTATCCTTTTCTCTTTGGTACGCGGTGGGACACAGAGTCGCGACTCCTCTCTCGTTATCCACTTACCAGCGCGTCAATCTGTTTGCTATGCAAATCCCGTCCGACCGGTGCTGACGTAGACGGCAACACCAACGCAGAAACGGGTCCGTCGACGATATCTCCTACTAACACACTTAACGGCGAGCAGTTAGTCATTGCCCGCGTAGCACACACGTAGAAAATATAATTGGCTACCACGACGGACCACGCAGCAATTCCACACGGGTTCTCCTTTAGCCCCACCACTCGTTGTTCGGCAACACTGATACCGAGACCACTACACGACTCTTGCCACCACCAATACTACTCTGACAGATACTGCTGTTGTTACTACTACGATTACTATCGCCAGCAGTAATATCACCAACACATCGACGACATCGTGTCGGTAAACGCACCGCAAACTCCACAAACGAATTCCCCTTGCGCTTACACGGCTCCACGATTCTTGCCTGACGTCATTGGCGCCTAATCGCGACGTTATTTCGTGTACCACTTCGCGTACTTCTCTCGGACGTGCACCTCGTGCTTTCCTTCCACCACGGATCCTCTCTCTGTCTCCTCTTTCTCCCTTCCTATTCACCTCTCTGCTTGCCGAGAATTTATTTACGGCCACGATTTCGACAGTCTCGGTTCAACAAGTATCCACCGCGGTGTTTTTCTCTTTTCGCGTAAACTCGCCGTCGCGCGAAAGCGATAGAGTTACAGAAATCAGTTTCCTCGCTCCGATGAATCCTCCCCGCTGGACAAGCAACAGGGACAAAGACGCTGCCCGAGCGGACAGCTGCGATACACTAGGCTGTTACGATTCCTCGCTCATTCATCCTCGATTGGGACGGGAAGGAACCGATTCGATCCACCGTAAGGTAGGATCTCGAAGCGCGTGTCGCGTATCGAGCGTTTGATCCGCGCCACTCACTCGGCACAGACTCAAACCGCTTTCCACCGTGTCTACTACGTTACTACTCATCACTCTTCCTGCAACATAATTCCTGTTCGACAACACTGCAGCACGCACTTTCCACGCTTCTGCTCGATCGCCACCACTACCACTACCACTACTACTATCACCACGGTCTTTTTCCACCGAAAGAGAAGATGCTCGTGTGTGTGGTCGCGTTGCGAAACGGATGCGCGCTCTCCTACCGGGTTTTCAACAAGTGATCGCAGCAGCAGTAACAGCAGAAGCGGCGGCAGCGACGACGGATCGGCAGCTCGTCGTTCCAGGGTCGTTCGTCGGCGTATAGGTGGCACAGCACGCGCATGCTACACCTCCTGACGGCGTTGTTATTGTTGCGTAACTGGCGGCCCGCTAAGCCGAGTGTGCCGCTGCCAGCAGCCGGGGAGAGAGAGGTCGCGAGAGCGAGGTAACAGCAGCCGTGGGTGAGCCAGTGGGCGAGTATCTCCGACGAGAGAGCAGTGAGCGTGCGAGCAGTGCGCCGTCTGGCGTGGCTGACGACAGTCTACTGCCTTCCGAGAACCACGAGGCGATTCCGTGTATCGAACGCGCACTGCCGAGCCACTGAAGGGATGGACTCGAACCATCGGAGTGGGGGATCCTGGTGGGACGAGAGGGGACGAATTCGACGTTCAGACGAGCGTAAAGCCCCGTCCACACGCATTCACTCATATACTCCGCTCCTCGGTTATAACGGGTTTTCTGCGATAGGTTAATACTCCACGCTCCAACTTTTCCGTAGATTCCTCAGAGTTACAGCTCTCTTCCATTGCATCGGTAGAAATGCCAAATTTATCCCTATTGAAAATCCAGCCGATTATTAATTCCGTAAACGCGCAGGTGATTAGGAAAGTGGCCCGAGTCAGATTTCCAAATATTTTTAGTTCGGAAAAATTTTTTAATTAAATTTCGCACGGTTGCAAACTTCGTTTAAGCGTAAGATAAATATTCCGGAGAGGTTATGTTTTACATTTTTGGTTGAATCGTGGAATCGATATTTTGTTCAAATTTCTACGAGTGGTTCTCTAATGTTGGTCCGCCATGAACGTATTTTCGACACGAAAAGGAGAGTATATTACCCGTAGCTACGGTATTAAACACTCGACTCCAGCTTTGTACAGTCCACGATTTGTTTTAGCTATAGATACCAAGCTCGCGTGTGTTTTTTTTTCGTTTACGTAAACTATGCTGTATGTAACACGTTTACACGAATACGTGCTTCGTAGTATCTCGACAAACCTGGTTCGTAGTGTGCAATAAAACGTGGAAAGAACGTGTGGACGGACTTTAACACGGGCCGGTATGAGAAAGCCTGTGGAGAGGCAGAGTTAGCGATACTCGGCTAAAATCCTCAGGGACGCACTCTACTACTCTCTCTCTGATCTATGCTTCATATTCGAAGACGATAATGAGGCTTTTAACCGTGGCCTTGCGCCGCTGCAGCATGTTAAATGGAAAATCGAGAAAATACCTCGATCCCCCACCATGGTTACTTTTTACGTCACGTGGGTCTTCCGACGAGACGTTTGATGGATTTTCTTTGGCGTCATTGGCTCAACTATGAATGAAATATACCCCACATTACCGACGCCGCTTTATTACCCTTTATTCCAGATTCCCAGGAGACGCGTTATTCTTCAATTACATTAGCTCTCGTTAATACTTATTAATAATTAACGTGGAAATTCTCAGCAATTTATAATCACCGCGATACATTTAATTAATTATGAAACGATAAAACGTTTCTGGCGGATTTCCAATGAATACGATTCTCCTCGTATCGGAATATACGAAATACGCGTATCGTTTGAAAATGGCGTCACTGTTTATATTTCAACGTTGCGCGAGGATCGGGAATGCGGAGGAAAAATTGGAAAAAACAGCAGAAATGGCGTCGGTGATATTCGACATTGTCGTAGCAGTGGCCAAGCACGTTCCGTTATAAACATTGATATGGGAGTAGGTAGGATAACAGATAAACAGGAATCCCTGGCGATAATCTGCCTTATCTATTCCGGATCGGTAAAAGCCAAGGGCAGACGCGGTCTTCTGAGGTGTCGCCTCGACTATGTTTCATCGTCCCTGCCCGAGACTTGTGCAGGGAGTCGCTGCTATCTGCCAGATACATACAACCTTCTTCTCACGCGTCTGCCAGTCCCGGAAGGACGGCCTTCAGGGAATTGACCTCTACGAAGCACCCGCTTCTCGGGGAGACGATCGGAA